CCACCCATGCAGTAGTGAACGAGAGGAGTGACGATGGCAACATCGAACTCGTCATCCATCTTGTAGTTGTAGTTCTTGAAGAACTTCTTTCCCCACTCATCCCAAGTCTTTCCAGACGGATAGGCATCATAGGGACCATTGTCAGGATCGGCAGTCTGCTTGTCACCAACCTCAATGTAGCTCTTGAAGGTCTGCTCAAGAGTGGAGGGGGCGATACCCATCTCCTTAGCGAGATCATAACCACTCTTGAAGTGCTTCATGACACCACGGCCCTCGTAATGCTCGACATGCCAGTGAATATCGTTGGCAGCGGCGGAGTTGAGGACGAGGCGGAAAGGTCCCTTGTTGGCGAACATCCTGTTGGAGACGTAATCACGACGGCCGAGCTCATTGGAGAAACGCTGTCCATCGGCATCGAGAAGAAGACCACCAACACCACGGAGAGCCTCAGCAGCGAGGAACTTGACCTTGCAGTCGGGATCCTTAGGGTTAACAAGACCAGTAGGATGGACCTGTACCCACTCGAGATCGACAGTGTCGGCACCAGCGGCCATACCCATCTTGATTCCATCACCAGTGCAGTGCTCGCCATTAGTAGTGGACAGGTTGAGAAGATCGGGGCGATACTTGGCGAGAAGACCGTCCTTGGAGAAATCGGCACCGAAGCCACCAGTGGCGAGGATAACGGGTCCAAAGAGAGAGTAACCCTTGCCAGCCTTCTCGTAATGGACACCAATCACGGCACCCTCATCGTCCTTGATAAGATCGGTGACACGAGCCTTGTTGACAATCTGGCACCTCTCAGGAAGAGCCTTAGAGATGGTCTCAGCTTTTTGAATCTCAGCATAGGTAATAGTCATACCAGGGAAACGCTCCTTACCACGATGGGTACGCTCAGCAGAGTGACCACCGAGACGAGCAAGGAGGGAAAGATCAAGACCGAAGTTATCAACGAGCCAGTCAACAGAGTTTCCGGAGTTCTCAACCATAGTCTTGATGAGCTCGGGGCTCTTGGAACCACCCTTCATGCAATCGGACTCAAAGAGCTCGTTGGAGTCTTCAACACCGAGCCTCTTCTGGGTCTTAGTGCAAGAACCGTTAATACCAGAGGTAGCCTTGGAGGAGTTACCGCCGCAGAAGGCAGACTTATCGAGAAGAATGACTTCTCCACCCTGTTCCAAGATGGTGTTAGCAGCAGAGAAACCAGCAAGACCACCACCGACAACGATGGCTCTTTGCCTGGCCTCGGTACAGCCATCAGCGAGATCCTTGAGAGGAATGTGTTCATGAGCAGGCAAGAAAGTCTTGGCGGCGTCCTTACCAGTGAGGCGACCGAAGACGACACAGTCTAGTAGAGAGTTACCACCCAAACGGTTGTTGCCGTGAACACCTCCCATGAGCTCACCGGCGGCATAGAGGCCGCGGATGGGCTTACCCTCCTTGTCGAGAACATGACCGGTAGTATCGATCTTCAAACCACCCATGCAGTAGTGAACGAGAGGAGTGACGATGGCAACATCGAACTCGTCATCCATCTTGTAGTTGTAGTTCTTGAAGAACTTCTTTCCCCACTCATCCCAAGTCTTTCCAGACGGGTAGGCATCATAGGGACCATTGTCAGGATCGGCAGTCTGCTTGTCACCAACCTCAATGTAGCTCTTGAAGGTCTCCTCGAGAGTGGAGGGGGCGATACCCATCTCCTTGGCGAGATCATAACCACTCTTGAAGTGCTTCATAACACCACGGCCCTCGTAATGCTCGACATGCCAGTGAATATCGTTGGCAGCGGCGGAGTTGAGGACGAGGCGGAAAGGTCCCTTGTTGGCGAACATCCTGTTGGAGACGTAATCACGACGGCCGAGCTCATTGGAGAAACGCTTTCCATCGGCATCGAGGAGAAGACCACCAACACCACGGAGAGCCTCAGCAGCGAGGAACTTGACCTTGCAGTCGGGATCCTTAGGGTTAACAAGACCAGTAGGATGGACCTGTACCCACTCGAGATCGACAGTGTCGGCACCGGCGGCCATACCCATCTTGATTCCATCACCAGTGCAGTGCTCACCATTGGTGGTAGAGAGCTTGAGGAGATCGGGGCGGTACTTGGCGAGAAGACCGTCCTTGGAGAAATCAGCACCGAAACCACCAGTAGCGAGGATAACAGGGCCATAGACCTTATGGGTCTGGCCATCCTTAGTGGTGTACTCGACACCAACAACCTCACCCTTCTCATTCTTGATGAGGTCAGTGGCGCGAGCCTTGTTGATGATTTGGCATCTGCTGGGCTGGGCCTTGGAAATAGCCTCCGCCATCTGAATCTGGGCGTAAGTGATGGTCATACCGGGGAAACGCTCCTTACCACGATGGGTACGCTCGGCAGAGTGGCCACCCAAACGAGCGAGGAGGGACAAATCGAGATCGAAGTTATCCATCAACCAGTTGACCGAGTTACCAGAATGCTCGACCATAGTCT